AAGGAAATGAAAAAAGAGAGAAAAAGAGAGACTGCATACTTATGTTGAACTGGATATTTAAGTCCGTCAAACAGGTTCCAGCAAGGATGGCTTACTAACTAATCATTCTGTATTAACATTGTTCCTAATACTTGTTCGAAAGAATGGGAACACATTCATGCAAACGGGATACTACCACATAGGAAATAAACAAAAAAAGGTTTCTATAATAAACATTAACTCATTTATTCCTGGAACAAAGTATGGTACACAATACAGTCCACAAATTACATCCAGAAACGATTCTATTTTGTACACAGAATAACCTAAAACATGAAAATCAATCACATTAAACCTCCACCGTGTCAAGAAGACAACCATCAAGAACCATATGTTTGAGGTCTATGATAAAATTGTCCCAGAAAAACCCAAACCCAAATGTCCCATTCCGGTAATGCCAAATCCTTCCTTCTCCTTGTCGAGGATTTGCAAAAGTCCCTGCTGAATCTCGAATGACTAGATCATAACTTGAGTTGATGTGCATTATATGAGAGACCATGGTTGAGGGACATTGGCAATGTGTGTGATTTGCCACTGTTAGTGAATGATGGTGTATGCGACTATCATAAATATATTCTTCCTCAGGAGAAAGTGGAGACTCAATGAATGTAGTGTTTGATGTCCAGAACACTGGGGCAGCAGAGCCAGAGGACAAATCGCCAACCCTTCGGCAGATGATACCCCCAGTATCATATGCCACAAGATAAAAATCTAAGCTAATGTCATCATATATTCCCTGCAATATGAAGCCCAAGAGAGACATCAGACAAGCTGAAATGAAGAATCCCCCCAAGCCAGCCATCTTCGAACAAACTATGAACAATAAGAAGTAACAGTAAAGAAAGTAAAACAAGCAGTTATGCTAACAAGAGCCAATGTGGAACTTCAAATTGACAATCCAAACATGATTTCAACCCTGGTTCGACCGAGTGGGACAGTGAAGAAGATTGAAAAAAAGGAAGAGAAAACATCCTTTCTTCTAAAGGGGACTATAAAGTTTCCACAACATAAAATTGTAAAACAAAATAAAGAGCTTGCCGAAGCACCATTTAGTCTCCTTTACGAACAATTTACATAAGCTAATTTGATAAGAAATGTTGTCCACCATAACTTGAATTTTCCATAATTGACTAGAGATACAAGCATTACTTCAGAAATAAAACAATGATTGACAAATATATGCACATGAATAAATAAAAATGGTTCATTAAGGCCATCTTCCCTTAACAAATAAACTGGACTAAGGTGGGTGCCAGACTGCCAGTAGATAAAATTGCAAATAAACTTTTCAAAAAGCCAACAATATTATACAATTAGTACCAGTAATGATTTTCAAGTCAAGGAAATAGTCTTTTACATTTATCTGCAATATCATTAAGTAATTAATAGATATAAAGTATAAACAGAAACAAGTATAAATAATTTGATTAACAAATAAATGTACAAAGACAATAGGAAAGGTATTCACAACACCTTCCATAATCCCTGCAAAGGCCGAGATGGCGTGGGCGAACAATCCATAATCTTTACAAAATGCTCGGGCTCCCATCGTCTCTTCCCCAGTCTCTCCTTCTCTTTCCTCCTCTGTCTCCTCCACGCTCTATCCCCAACTGGAGATATCCTATTCGCGAATTGCATATACATTTCTGTTACCAAACATTCCCCAGAACTGCCATCGCTATCGTCTCCTCTAGAATTCAAATCCATCGAGCTTGGACTCCTGCCAAACACGGACTTTCCAAGTTCTCGATAATAATTAGCATAGTTTTCCTCAACCAGAACATGAAAACTCCCCATAAAATTAACGTTAACTGATACCAAATCCTCAATAAACCCCAACTGACAACATTTTACAAAATCATCCCATAATTTAATTTCCCCATTAAGCTGGAGAAAGTTTACGATTTCGCCATCGGAACTCAAACTCATCCACAAAAACGGAGACTTTGAGACATTGTAAGTACCGTTTCGCGAGGGAGACACCCTAGAGCCAGAGAGATATGAGGGGCCCCACTCGAAGAAAATCAACAGCGGGGATGAATCATTGACCATGGGTTGACCACTTCTGCGCCAGAAACCGATCAGATTCTCCCATTCATTGAGAGTTTTGTAAAGGAGCCTGTAGGAGATCTTGCCATCTCCCCATTTTTTGATTTGGGTTTTTGAGCCCCATCTTCTCTCGCAAATGGTGTACCAGAGCTTGCCGTCGCTGTTACACAGCGAAACGAACCGTTTTGATGTGCAGGCGAAGTTCGCGATTTCTCTTGGGGAAAGGAACGATAAAATGAATAGCTGGATATCTTCAGGGAAATCGCAGAATGAAAATAAATTCATTTCATCCATCCTTAGTAAAATTCGATGAAAATTTCTCGGCAGAATTTTGTGTTTCAGGGAAAATTTTGGTGGCAACGAGAGATAAAAGAGTTGTGTCCCTGTGGGATTTGGTAGATTCTTGGAGAAAAGGGAATGATTCCTTTCGGTGACTGTAGAAAGATTAAAGTTCAAATTGGGGAAGTAACTCTGTCTTTCTGTAACGGGGTAAAAATGTAATTTTGTTTCTGGATCCCCTACAGAGAGTGTAGGAATGAAATTGGTGCAGAGTGTCTGGATCAGAGTCTGTTTGTATCCAGTAAAATGATTAACCACTGATGTGCTTACATCTGGCGGACAACATGAATGAGTCAATTTTTTAATATATGCATTTTAGTAAATCAATTACGTGTGATGCATATGGGAATGTATCCTCCACGGCTTCTCATCTCTTTGCTTGAGCAATACGGTTTTGAATCATTTGTTATTAAAAGAGGTTGGGAAACATATTAAATTACATCTCTAGTCTCTCTACTGAAATGAAAACCACAAAAAAATATGCAACATGTCTTCCTCTTCGCAACCACACACATAATGATGACACTTTCATTTATTTATCACTGGTAGATGATCTGGTTCGTCGAAAATCCTTGATGTCACCCTCAACAGATGCCGAGGCTCTATCAGCTGTCCGATCCCTTGAATCACGACGCTTAGACCTTCCAGCATCCACCCTATCACCACCGTTAAATATTTGACCCAATCGTCCCTTGACCGACTCAGGAGTAACGTACGATTTGGTTTGTAACACGGATGAATACGAATTCCAGAACTCAGTGTAAGCAGGAACAACAAATTTCAGAGTCGCTGCTCTGATTTGCTCTCTCAAATCAAAATCAGGAATATTATAAGACTCAATGTGCCTTTGTGAAATCTCATCAAAACTCTTCATAAAAGCTTCCATTTTACCTCTTATCAGAACTCCAACATTGGCTGTGATCTCGTTGCTCTGCATTTTCAATTCTTCTTCGTCCAACAACCTAACAAGAGGTCCCCAAGCTTGCCTTTGATACAAGTAAGCTGATTCCTCTGCCACAATCTTGTATTTCTTTTTCATGTATTGTTCTCCCAATAGTTTTCCTAGTTCTGTGTTTCTAGTTCTCATATAAATGTACCAGTAAGTGTTCATGGCAAAAACGTGGGGCAGAACTTTGTCCTTATAATTTGACCGTTTTGATTCGACGTTTCTTTGGAGAGCTTCCATCACATTGAAAATTGCATCCTTGAGTAAATTCTCATCAGTTTCGGGTTTAGACAAAATCCCAGCTTTCCAAATTTGTTCTGTTCGAAGAACTTTGGCCATAGGTACACTGTGAGTCTCGGTTGCAAGGTACTTGAGATAATTAATGGCATATCTTACAAGTTTTGGAACTGAGCCATCTTGTGGTGGAGGAAGACCATCTGCATTCCCTTCAATTTTGAGACCGAACTCCCAAAACACTTTGCATGAAGCGTGGACGAGTAGCTTTTCTAGTTCTCTAAATCTAGTACAAATCCCACTTCCTGCTTCCCCTTCAAAAATCTCTGAGAACTGGAGTTTAAGTTTTTCTAAGGAGTCGAACATATCCAAGAGCTTGAACAACTTCTGTGGCTCTTTGCTACTCCTTGCAACGCCTTCTCCAAATCGAAAAAAGACTGCCATGATTTTGTCAGCAATCTTGACGAAGCATTCTGGCCAAATAACTCCTTCCAAGATTCCTCCCAAAACTTGGATGCAAAGCTTCTTTTCTGATACAAAAACAGTTTTAACTGCAAGCTCAAAATGTTGAATCCACAGGGTTACTGCTGTCTCCAAGCTCTCCCACTCCATTTCATCAATTTCTTCAGAAGTGTATGTCCGCAAATAATCAGGGTTTAAGCGCATTAATGCTTTCGCTGCTCTTCTGTATCTCGCCTGTTAAACATATTTACATCACCAAATTAGCATCTAAATGTCAGCCCGGCTAATCAAATTTACCCTGTTCAATTAACCTTTTAATCTTAAATTCTTTTAATGATCCCGCCGCCAGAGGTGTCTAGCTAGCTATTATCTTTGTGAAAAATTAAAAAAGAAAATCTTTTTCTTTCGTTCAGAATTGTTTTCTAATTGATCTTCATATTTGAAAAATTGAACATACCATCGTCTGATTCTCGAGTAATACATCTCGAAAAATCATATCTTATGTGGCCAATGGAACGGCTAATTCTTAACCAAAATAAGTGGGCTACATCTATTAAATTTTAACAAATTATTTCTTCTGACTAATTTACTGCCTTTTGTTGAAATGGCAAAGATATAAGAGTAAAAATATTACTTGAAAAAAAAATACACCCAAAAAAGTTTGTTATATACTTTTGGTTTGCATTTGAAAAGAAAATTTGCTTCAAGCAATAATTTGCATATTTACCTTGACAAAGATGTCGATACATATATCCAAGCAATCATTGGAAGCCAAGGTTTCTGAAATTCGCCTAAGAACTTCGACCTCCATTTCTGTGGCCAGATCAGAACCCACCATCTCTGCTTCTTTATCTTCATAGGCCTCGCCTATACTTTGATGCCTTAATTTCTGTAGCCTACCCTCAAATTCATCCTGCAGATTCAATAAAGCCTCATCAAGCAACCCGTCGAACCTCGTGGCATCAACCTCAGTTTCATACAGAGCCTTAAGAGTCACCAAAGTCTCCCTCAACCTATGTGTCCTATACTGATCAGTGGCTTTTGTCCTGCTCAAGAACTCCACTACCTCTTGAAGTTTTTGAATCACCGGCTCACCATCTTGACTTATTTTGATTATGGTCGTGTTAAGCTTATCAACACAATCAACATATTTTATCAATTTTCTAAGCCTTTTCTTGGGATTCTTCTCAGAGGATACTTTGGAGGAGAGTTCAAGAAGCTTGTGTTGGAGAGATTCAGCAAGCTTGAAGCTATCAAGGAGTTCAAGAGCCGGAGACACAGCTCGGCTGATTCTAGTTTCGAGGGCTTTCGTGGTCATAGCCAAAGAATGTAAAGGTGCTACTCTCCTTGCAGCTGTTGTAAGTATCTCTTCCATAGAATCAAACTTTTTGTCCATGTTTGCTAGGTTCTCATCGAGTTTGGAGGAGGTTAGTAGGAGTTTTTTCAAGTCTGTGCAGGCTAATTCCAGCTTTGTGAGCGTTGAATCCTCTTCGCCGAGTGCCATTGGTTGGTCTTGATCTTCTCTCACCTAATTAGGAAGAAACCTGCGAGATGTTTAATTAGTTGAGAACATTAGAAATGAAAGAATCATGGAGTCATGGATGAAATCTGAAGGCCGTATTTCGTCAATGACGAGAACAATGATATCAACTGAGAGAAAAAAACGACAGGAAGGTCACTACGGAGACTCGATCATCTCGATACAATTGTAAGAGCAAATGGCATTGGCCTATGCTAAATAGACAAATACATGAAAGGAATTTTAAGAATAAACAGCCGATCCCCTTTAAACCAGCTGGAATCGGTCTAAATTCCAAACATGATTCTTGTCTTTCTTCCTTTCTTTTAATATTTCTTTTTCATACTTTTTGGTCGTATGTCACAATGAAACGACCAAATGTTCATACATCATAGAATTTCACAATCACAATTAATGTTAATATAAGCCATGTAAGATAAAGATGGGATTTGCTGGTGAGTTAACGACTTTTTCCCATCTAAATAATATCTTAATAACATTTTTCTATCTACAAACTTTTAAAATATAATTTTATTACCCAAATTTATATTCTAATGACGAATAGATAGCAAACTCGATCCAAATTATTGGGAGTTTCGAAGAAGGGAGGCCAATGAGTCTTTTGATGATGGAAGGTTGGATTTTGATGGTTGGGATTGATTAGAATTTGACTTAGGAGTAACAGATATGGAAACCCCAATCACTTGATTGCCAGTGATTGGCAAGGTTGACGGGAGTAGGGTTTAAGGGATTGTGGTAAGTGATGATAGGGAAAAAAAAATGATGGTGGTGTGCGGTCGCAACAATGTCAGAATTGGAAACGAAATATAAATTTGGGTAGTAAAGTGGTATTTTAAAAGTCTAAGTGGAAAAGATTATTAAGCCGTTATTTAGGTGGGAAAAAGTAATTTACTCTTTGCTGGCCATGCTACTGCTACAAATGAAAAATTATTGTTCATTGTTGTTGAGTCAAATGGTAAGGGTTACTCCTGATTTATACAAAATAAATAAATAAACATATAAGAAATAGAATATCTTTATAAAATAAGCAGATTTCATATTTAATTGTTTATAATCATGTATTTAATTTATGTTGATACAGAAATCTGCATCAACCAAAGAATTTCGAGGGACTCTGTCAGAACCGGAATGGATGTGCGCGTTATTACGGATAACCAGCTATGAATGAATAATAAATACAATCAAGTAAACGGCAGAGAGACTTTTAAAGTGGTTTGGCAAGTTAGAACTTGAGCTTACGTCCACTGTTATCTTATTGTTTTTGAGAGCTTACAAAGAACAGTATAATTCCTAAGAAAATTTGCTTAGAACAATTGTCCAACCCCCTTGAAAACAAGTTATGATGGGGTTTATATAGCACCCCTTTACATGATAGAGTTGAGATAAGATTCAAATACGTAGGATTAGGAAGTTGCATGATCTTCGGCTACCTTAGTTAGAGTCTAAGTCAATCTGATTATCTTCCTTCTAAATTGAGCTAATCTAAATATCTTCTCTCCTAATAGGGAATTATCATCTCTGGATTGACCGCACAACAATAGCCCCCTAGTATTTGGAGTGCATAATCGCGCTTCAAAAACTCATGTCTTTGATTTGGATGGTTGTCACACTATAGGTTGTAGTCTCGAACTAAAGAACTTGGATTATGCTTGCCGCGATCTAAGAGATCTGAAAAATCTTGAACGCATGATCTCAAGCGAATGAGCGAGCTTATGAGATTAATCAGAAAGCATAAAGAGTTTGATCTAAGAGCATAAGGAGCATAGGGAGCTTGATAAGAGAGCATAATGAGCTTGATCTGAGAGTGCGAGGAGTTCGATTAGAAAGTGCGGAGAGCTTGATCTGAGTGCATGGAGAGCTTGATCTGGAGCATGGCTCGATCAGAAAGCATGGAGAGCTTGATTTGAGAGCATGACTCGATCAGGGAGCATGAAGAGCTTGATCTGAGAGCATTGCTCGATCAGAAAGCATGGGGAGCTTGATCTGAGAGCATAGCTCGATCAAAAAGCATGGGAGCTTGATCTAAGAGCATAGCTCGATCAGAAAGTATGAAGAGCTTGATCTAAGAGCATAGCTCGATCAGAAAGTATGAAGAGCTTGATCTGAGAGCATTACTCGATCAGAAAGCATGGAGAGCTTGATCTGAGAGTGTTGCTCGATCAGAAAGCATGGCGAGCTTGATCTGAGAGCGTTGCTCGATCAGAAAGCTTGGCGAGCTTGATCTAAGAGCATTGCTCAATCAGAAAGCATGAAGAGCTTGATCTGAGAGCATAACTTGATCAAAAAGAATAGGGAGCTTGATCTAAGAGCATTGCTTGATCAGAAAGCATAGAGTGCTTGATCTGAGAGCATTACTCAATCAGAAAGCATGGCGAGTTTGATCAGAAAGCATGGCGAGTTTGATCTGAAAGCATAGCGAGTTTGATCTGAAAGCATTGCTCGATCAGAAAGCATAGAGAGCTTGATTTGAGAGCATGGCTTAATCAAAAAGCATGGAGAGCTTGATCTGAGAGCATGACTCGATCAGAAAGCATGGAGAACTTGATATGAGAGCATGGCTCGATCAGAAAGTATGAAGAGCTTGATCTAAGAGCATGACTCGATCAGAAAGCATGGAGAGCTTGATCTGAGAGTATGACTCGATCAGAAAGCATGAAGAACTTGATTTAAAAGCATGACTCGATCAGAAAGCATAGGGAGCTTGATCTGAGAGCATTGCTCGATTAGAAAGCATGGAGACCTTAATTTGAGAGCATTGTTCGGTTAGAAAGCATGGAGAACTTGATCTGAGAGCATAGCTCGATTAGAAAGCGTGGAGAGTTTGATATGAGAGCATAGCTCGATCAAAAAGCATAGAGAGCTTGATCTAAGAGCATTGCTTGATCAGAGAGCATTGCTTGATCAGAAAGCATGGAGAGCTTGATCTGAGAGCATTGCTCGATCTAAAAGCTTAGAGAGCTTAATCTGAAAACATTGTTCAATCAAAAAGCATGGAAAGTTTGATATAAGAGCATGGCTCGATCAGAAAGCATAGGGAGCTTGATCTAAGAGCATTGCTTGGTCAAAAAGCATGGAGAGCTCAATAGCTTGAGAGCTTGAGAGCTAGACAGCTAGCTTGAGAGCTCAATAGCTTGGGAGCTCGAGAGCTAGTAAGCTTTTTCTAATATGAGAGATCTGAGCGCGCGATCTAAGCGATTTGGCCACGCGACTTGAGAGCTCTGATTTAAAATATGCTTCAGTATTTTGATGATAACTTGAGTTGTAGACCTCAGATTTGGATGATTTTTGAACTGTCGAAAAGCTAACTCGAAGGGCTACAATTCTTGTGTTTGCTGCTTAGCTAGATTCAGACTTTATGCTACTCAGATTTTCACATTTGATAACTTAATTCTAGAAAAAGAAGTTGGGATTTGCTGAAGAAGTTGAGACTTTTTGGAAAAACATAGGAAGCTGATATGAATCAGACCCTCCTTCTAGCGCCAAAATGTTGATAAAGAAATCTGCACCAATCAGAATGGATGTGCGCGTGATTTAATGAAAATTAGCAATGAATAAAGAGAAAGAGTCATAAATAAGAATACAAGACAATTTTTAAAATGGTTCGACAAGTTAGAACTTGAGCCAACGTCCACTGTTATCTTATTGCTTTTAAGAGCTTACAAAGAACAGTATAATTCCCAAGAAAATTTGCTTAGAACAATTGCCCAGCCCCCCCTGAAAACAAGTTATGATGAGTTTATAGCACCCATTTACATGATAGAGTTGAGATAATATTCAAATATGTAGAATTAAGAAGTTGCATGATCTTCGACTACCTTAATTGGAGTCTAAGTCAATCTGAATATCTTCTTTCTAAATTGAGTCAATCTAAATATCTTCTCTTCTAAATTGAGCCAATCTAAACATCTTCTCTTCTAATAGGAAATTATCTTCTCTAGATTGACCGCACAACAGTGTGTTTAACCTTTATTTTTTTAGGGAAACTATCTATTTATACCTGTTTTGTTTAAGGTAATGGGTGATTTTTACAAGTGGTCTGATGGCATGAAGATTCTTCCTGCTTTCCCATTCGTTAAGAACTCCCAAGTTTATCTTTAAATTAAATGGGAGTTAGACAAATGTACCACTCAAATTCATCCATGCCCACTCTTGAGAGGGTTTGAGTTTTGATAACTAATATTCTGTCTTTAATGCGTGTCAAATTCTGGTTGATTAGAAGATCTGCTGAATCTTGATTGTGGAGATGACGTCCTGATTGGTGGAGATGACCGTCAACAAATGTCAACCCTTATTTTTAGACATGAAATAATTGAAAACATTTGGACGTGTTCCCGAAAAATTCATCACCTTAGCTTAAAACTTAAAAGTAAAAACTACATGGTTTAATATCCAACCAAATTAATAAAATTAATATTGTTATTAATTAATAATTATTATTTCTTTCTGTAATTGACTTATTTCCTTCTCCCAGTAGTCCCGACTCGCGAACGCCAACATGGCATGTAGATCTATAATGCTGATTCGGTCGATTCCACAAATGGAAAGCTGCCACGTCATGATGGTTCCCTCCTCATTAAAAGAAGCGCGAAACTTCTGGTGAATTCGTAGCACTAGTTCTGGTATAACTTGGCTCACCTTTGCTTTGACTTGAGAGTTGAGACTGCTTATCTTCTTGAACCACCAGAAAATGGCAAACTTTTTGCGACGAGTAGGAGCTCAGCGATCATCGGTTTTGTTTTCTCCAACAAGGAGGAGATGGTTCTCTTCGGAGGATGCATTGGTGGAGGTTAAGCCTGGTGAGGTCGGAATGGTCTCTGGAATTCCAGAGCAACATCTCCGAAGAAGGGTACAATATATCCTCTTCTTCCTTATTAAGTAATTCAATAAAATCTCCATTTTAGCAGTCAATGTTCCATTATTTTCACATTGAGTAATTGGCTTGGGATTGTGTATTTTCATCTTAATTCTTCTTTTTCTGTTTGCTGAAAGACTTGAACATTCAGTTTTGGTTAAATCTGCTACTTATGAACCAATTGAGGTTTAACTTTTTGGGGATAAACTTGTTGTAAGTTGTTGGAAGAATTAACTTTGATTGCTCTGGAGCTGCTGTATAAATTTTAGATCTTTGTTTATTGAGATTAAACAGGAAAAACTCAAGTTTGGGATATGTTCCGCTATATTTATTTTACAAATTAACCAGATTATGGTGAAGCTTAAGTCAGTAGCGTCTCGCTGGAGCCATTTTGTTGATGAAATTTAATTTGTAGTCTTTCATGATGTATTTTGTCTTTGGCAGACTTTGATGTAATGCCACATCATTATATAAAAGGGGCATTTCATCTGTTCTTTCAAAAAAAAAAAAAACGATTTATTTGATTTGAACAGCACTAGAAGCGTATTCTAAAAAGTAGAATTTACGAATTGAATAATGGATTCAAGTGCACTTTTACTTTGATGCGATGTTTGTAGAAACGTTCTCAACGATGAAACTTGTGTAATCTACGTATTTGACATGGAATTTGATTTTTTATGCGTGTCGCTTTTCTACATATTAATTGGATGATATTTTGTTTAGTTTTCAGAATGAAGATGATGGCTCCAAATTGTTGCATTCAATCACCATTAATCAGATTCAAACACTTTTTTGTAAAACTAAATTCATTACCTTTTAACTTATACTTGTTCCGCTTCTTCTCAGAGTATAATACTATACTCTTCCACTTATCTTTTGGGGTTCAATTTTAGCTGTTTTCATTTGTATATGCCAGGTTGTTATTTACTCACCTGCACGAACAGCAACTCAGCAAGGCTCTGGGAAAGTTGGGAAATGGAAAATTAATTTTCTTTCAACGCATAAGTACGTTTTTAAGTGCATACAATTAAGCTACCTCTAATATGTTTAGTCTTTGTACCTTTTAAGTTTCTCCTTGTATTGGGGCAACCTTTTAAACAAGCTTTTTTGAGGCATATATTCTATATTCATGTTCACCTTCGAGACTTGTTATAGCCTCTCTAATTGTCACTTTTTCAGGTGGGAAAATCCTTTAATGGGTTGGACATCCACAGGAGACCCGTACGCCAATGTTGGTGAGGCAGGACTCAGTTTTGATAGTGAAGCTGCTGCAAAGGCATTTTGTGAAAAATATGGATGGGAATATGTGGTATGTGCGTCGTGCCTATTCATTTTGGTTCTACACTATCTTATTGCTTATTGTGCAATAATATGACTGGAGTTTCTCTTATGTCCTTAAATTTTGTTTCAGCATTAAACTTTATATGGGGAAACTGCAATTGCTGAGGATGACATCGAGAAATTGAGAGTAGTTATAATTGAAAACTTACTTGTTGCGTGACTTGTTACTAAACATTATACCTACAATCTCCATCCAATTGTGTTCGTATTGGTACAGCACTCTTGGAAATATTTAGTTTGCAAGTGAGTTATTCCTCGTAGACATGGTAGTGAGATGACTGTAGACTGAGAATGAGGAGAAAAAATGTGGAAAACGCATCCTTTAGCTAGCATCTTATTTACCGAGTTGGAGAGTATCGTCTTCTCCGTTAATTTAGTTTGCTACAGGTCTATGTACTTACAAATCTCAGTCAATTTTGCAAGTTTGGAAGTTGGAACTGGACGTTGAATACCACTTTGATTGAAACTGGCTCTTTCGTTAGCACTATGTACTTTTTTCTATTAACTAACAAAATTTTATGATTGTTTTATCCTTGATTTTATTTCCTTGGTACTATGCTGTATATTCTTGACAACTATTCTACTGGTGCAGGTGAAGAAGCGACACACACCTATTCTAAAGGTACGATTCTTTGACATGTGATGCGAATGACAGAATTATTTAGTTTCATATATATGGATACTAGAGTCTACTCCAGGGGTCTACATTTTTAACCCTGAATCATGAGCAAAATGAAGTCATATTTGCAGATTTAAATCTTTCAAAGATATCTTCTATAGTTATCAATTACTAATATGATAATGTGTTGAGATATTGTGACTCATTTTCTTATTTGTTCTAATGTAAAATTGTATTTAAAAAAAAAAAAAAAACTATTTTAGAAAAGAATAAAATTATATATAGGAATAGAATTATGAGAATCCTATTAAGAATATAACAAGATTCATATTAGGAGTAGTATATCTCATGTATCACTTATAAATATATAGGAGAGAACCAATTCAATATTACTAGAGAATGTGAGAAAACATAGGGTATGTGATGTAAAGGTAGGTTAAACACCTGGGGTAAGTGTAAAAGCTGGCTAGTTTCCACTCTATTTCCACTCAGGTGGGTTTATAGTACGAGTACTCAGCTTGTATAACCATGTTGATGTTATTATAGTAGAATTCTCTCTTATTCGTGGATGTAGGCAATGTAGGCAAGTTATATGAACCGCGTGTGATTTATATTCTTACATTATCCATCTCCATGTATGATTTCTGTTGCTTAATCTTATAACATCATGTAATGCAGATTTGTTTTATTGTTTATGAATTTGTTGGCCATTTTTATTTGTATTTTTTCATTTTATTTAAATTTTAAAGCCATCATCGACTGAGGATTGGAATTTCTTATGTTTTCAGCCCAAGTCGTATGCTGACAACTTCAAGTGGAAGGGCCCTCCGAAAAGCGAGAATGATTAAACTGTAATTTTGAGAATATTATAAGCTTATGCTTTGTAATATTGGTGTTTAATACATAGTTGTGTACTTCATGCATCTCACTTTCCCATTATTAATGTTAATTTCCACGAAGATGATATTTGTTTTTTCAAATTAGCTTATAATCTCCAGTCTACAGAATGAGTTCTTAAAATCGACATCCAAAACACCAGGGAGATTGAATATAGATTGAGTCTTAGTTTTATGTAAAAAAAGTCGACATTACTAGATATAAGAAGACAACAAAAATTATACTTATGTCGTCTCAGGTATACACATAGTAGCTATTAACGAAGGCGCCGTCTATAATTAAACTACGTCTGTATACAAAATAAAATATTCAAGCATTGCAACTTGACTGCGAAGTGTCTCTGTTATAGGTGTGGAACCTCCAGGTAAAGAGATAGTCCTTGGATTCACAAGACAATCTAATTACATCACAAAAAGCATTGATTGAGTTCTTCTTGCCATGACTGCCCCATTCTATCCTTACCCAGCATGAAAACCCATTTGACGAAACCGGCACCCCTGATTCAGCAAAATGAAGCATCACCTCACCACAAATTCTTTTGCATGAGCTACCTCCAAATTTTCCATCACAATTCACCATCGAATCCAGCCACGAACATTCCGGTTGACCCACCATTTCTTTGTAAGCAGAATTAGCCATCCTCACTTTGTTATTCGAATCCGATATGACTGCTGGTAGGACCTCCGACTCCATCTCTTCCTCAACTTCCTCGGGTTTCTTAGGAACTTGTACTGCAGGTGTTAAGCTCGGGTCTTCACTAATGTACCCAACGCTGATGCTTGATCCAACTGGGCGAACTGGTTGTGGCGCGATAATATTGGTGATAGAAGGTCCTTGCAGTTGCAACAATAGATCCTTCTCTTCTGGGATTTCAGCAACGGCATTCAAGTCTATAACCTTCACTGCTCCGAGTGGTTCCAAACGGTTGTTGGGCTCTGCTTTTTGGTTGGATACAATAGTAACCGATGGAGTGCAAGGAAGAAGAGGAAGTGTTACCAAACTTGAAGGTGCTTCTGTGGGATTTTCCAAGCTGCCACTATCAGCAGCCAGGTTTGAAAGAGGAACCCCATGAGCAAAACCATGCAAAGATAGATTTTTTGCAGGGGATGAGACATGACTGGGAGAAGAAAGCCCAAATAAATGGGTCCTTGATCTTTTGATGGTGGGTGGTGATATGGCCGCTCTACCTCTCTTTCTGGTTCTAGTGGGCCTGGCCTGCAACTGGGGCCATAAGTGCCTGAGGTAAGGAGATTGCCTGATCTTCGGGCTCTCACTCATGGGGCTTACAGGAGCTTCTGGTTTCGGAGCTATAGGCCTGTACCTAGACATAATCTCCGCCGTTTTGGCAGTGTTGGTGGAGTAAGGGCTCAAGGTCTTAATCATGGTTACTGGTTTTAAATTTCCGTTTGGGCTGGCTTTCAAAAAATGGGACTATGAGAGGAACATAAAGGAGAAAGGTGTAGGTGAGGTGAGTAATTGAAAGAAGAATGCAGAATATGGTGAAGGTGATGTAATAGAAGGCAGGGGGTTGAAGCCTAACAGGAAAAGAAGGGAGTAGTGGTATTAGAATTAGTGAGGTGAGAAGTGAGGAAGGCAATGTGTTAAGTGGTTTATATTTGTAAAGATAATCCAATAAGAGAAAGGCAACATGAGTAAAAGAGGCACAACGAAATGACACTTGGAGTTGTATTGTGGGTACGTGTTTAAGAGAATTAGAAAGAAGGACGTGTGGGACTTAAGTAAAAGAGTGGGTCCATGCATGCTAACACATATCAATATAATGGATAGAAGAAGAAGATAGATAAAAACTATTCAGTGAATGTAAAGAGAGACCGTTGCTTTGCTTCTCACACCAATCAAAAACCCTCTGTGTTATAACGCGTGTGTATTAGGTTGCCATGCGTGGATACACCTATCAGGATTGGTTTGGTCGTTCCTTGGTTGGCCTTCCATTTTTTACAAGACAAAACCACCACCCTTTTTTGTGTCGGTTATTTTTTGTTCATGTCCACGTGTCAATACCTCATCTTTCATTGCATGCAAAGGGTGAGTTATAATGTGATTGGAGGATCGGTCTTGGGAGGTTAAACTTAGACAGTACTATATGGATACACGTGGCCCTTGCTTTTTAAGCTTTGCTGAATCGATTGTACTCTCTGCACGCATTGTTATAAGTGACCCTTTTCCCTATTACCCATTCGGCGGTGCATCCGCTGTTTCCCACGTCACCAAATTTTTGCTTAGTCAGCCAAATTGTTGCTGCTGTTTCTTTTTTTTTTTTTTTAATGTTAAATAAAAATCCATTTGCCATCCTGATATTTTTATTATGAAATATTATAATATAATAAAATGCATATATCGATACAATTTTAAATTTTACGCTCGTTTGGTCCGGTTAGGTTCTTATTGTTTTTTTTTTCCTTAAATTCTTGTTATTTATTTTCGTTGTTACAATTTACCACTGTTTTAAAACCTGACCCAGTATGATCGATTGAACCAGTTCAATTAGGACATAAGGTCTTCACTAGACCGCAAACCTTAGAAATTATGAAAACGATTGATGAATAATTAATGACTAGGATATTGGGGTTTTTGAAGAGGAATGGATAATGAGTCAAAATGTGATGACATAAGTGATTTTCGGTGAGTAAAACGATAGGAAATTGCAAAAATAAATCGGCGTTAACAGTTTGTTGTTTTCGATGATTGGTGAAAATGGGTGTAGGGTGAGATGAGTTTTGGTCAGGAGGCTAAGGGGAGGGTTTTTGTGGTGATGGGGTGTGTTGTCGATGCTAGAAACATGCCCTATTTGGTCTGGGTGGTTGACACTACACTAGTGTGTAATTTGGGGTGTTTTTGTAGAATATCAAACTTATAGGGACTTATGGAGTTTTTAGGGGTGTTTTTGTTGGATTTTAAACTTTTTACATGATGATGTCACCTGTTTGACATACCAGTCAACCCAAAACTCGGCCAGTTTGCCGGGTTTCACCCTAGGCAAGTTTTAAAACCTTGCAATTTACCCTCAATTGGAGATGAGGGTGTGGAAAAATATAGTGTACTTTCCTGGGCCAAACATCCCAAGCTTTTGAGCATTTCTGGGCCGAACTTCTATAGACCATTGCTAAGCAAGAGTATCACTGGTTGGGGAGTTAACATCATAAGAACTTTTCAAATAGAAAATTGTATCATCTAAAACACCAAATTCTTAGATAATATACACCAAATAATTTGAAGGGTTTATACCTTAGCTAGTTACTTAATTAACTCATTTTCACTATTCTTTTCCATGGAAGACACAGTTCTGCCATTTCCTTCCAAAATTCCACCCAAATATAACGGAACCTTAGTTTACACTCCTCTTCCAAGGCTTGAAGCAAATTTTAGCATGAATTCGTTGCTATTGCTCCAATCAAGCCATTAATAATAAAGAAATTGGCGATTAAAGTTAGAGAGTTTCTTCAAAACTGGACTTATTTTAGGAAAAGAGACTTTTTGTTTAAAAAAAAATTAATGTCGATAATTTCAAGGGATTGGTTTAGCATTCAAAAAAATTTGTTTATTTATTCTATGAATTTTTGAGTTCAAACCTTGAGATTATCTATCACAATAATATTATGACTTACATGATCCTTTTAATTTATAGGATATTTAATAGATTTTAGGGTTTAATTGAGATACGTATAATTCAATGAATCTCGAGGTTTAGTTTAAATATACATAAGCTAATATAACATCTTGTTAAAAAAAAAAGATAAATAAATATTAATGTCGTTTAAGATGTTAAGGCAATCTTTCAAGTGGCTACACGTATACGAGTTTAAGTGGTTGGACGTGTAACACACAAGTGAAGTTTGTCCTCAAACTTGCACTGCTATTTGTCAAACCCAAAATGGCTCAACTGATTCAGCATTTTAAGTTTTAACCTCGTTTTATCAACCAAACTATCTTCTTCTTTTTCTTCCCCATCCCATCCTCCTCTATTTCAATCCCACCCATCATCACCTTCCTTTTCTCAAATTTCCACCCATTTTTTATCCCTTTATTTATTTTCTCGGAATAAGAATCATTTTTTAGAAAATTTTGACTCTCATCGAAATAGTGGACCCTTAATCCTGATTTCTGAAGATATATACTCGCGTATGAATCAAAATCTACTCCTGGGTTTCCTTCTAAATTGGTGGTTTTGATTTCAGGTGCGTCTTTTCTCATTTCAATGCACATATGTCGCCCTTTGTTCTCTAAATTACTCTTGTTTGTTTGTTTGTTCATTCTTATTGAATTTAATGACATTGGTTTGGTGGTGGATGAAGTTTCAATATTGATTAACGATTGTCTCATAAATTTCAATTCTCTCTTAAATTCCATCTCTTGGCATTATTGGCGTATCAATATGACACCAGTTCTTTAAGAGCATTCACTTTCTTTTCGTTTAATCGTTAACCATGTAGAATTTCCTTGAAAGTTTTGTATTTGATAAACGAACATACATATTAAAATTCTCTAGCATGGAAATTAAAATTCTCTAGCATGGAAATTAAAATTCTTTAGCAACCATACAATCATCTTAGTTAGGTTGGATGCCTAAGGCCATGAAATTCTCAGTTGGGACTTAAAATCCCGCACCTTAACTGGGCGGCATGAGTTGATGCCAATTCACAAAATTTTGTCGTTTGACAATTATAGGTGTAGATTTAAAATAAAAATGCCGAATACTGGGTGAGGCCATGACCTTGAAGTTCTTAATTATATCAGTAATCAAAGGAAAAGAATAGGAAACAGGTGTAAAATTTGGAAAGAATGGCATCTGGTGGGACATTTTTCAAGTTTTTTGCTGGGAAAAGGCCAAAACGATTATTTGGCTAAGAATAACAAGGGCCGTACTACAGTTCTGGTAACATTAACGGCATGATTTTTGATAATGCACAATATAATATTTTATGAAATTCAAATATTAACCNGCTCGTGGTCAAGAAAGATGAAAAAGTCTTAGAAGAAAGTTGAAAAAATATAAGGTCCCATTTTCTCTTTACGACAAAATTGACTATGAAGCATAACTATTGATGAAATGTGTAATTATTGGAATTGCAAAGTAAAGGTATGTAAGGATAACCTTGCATTCTCTGCTGCTTATAGTTTTCCTTCCTATGAATTAGGCTGCCTCCAGAAACGGCCTCAATTTTGCTTCTATGAAAAGGATTATTAAGTAGAAGTTAGTGTTACATTTGACAATGCCCAAACATCATATGCACATATTTTGGTGGCTTGCAATATATATCAATTGCTTTTTTACCTTCTGCTAGCATGCAATATCAAACAGATTGACTAAATTTAACAAAAAAGATGAAAGGAATACGTTTTTTCCCCTCTTTAACAATGAAGTTGTGTCTTGTGTACTTAGATTTTCTCATGACTGAATGTTATAAAAGCAAGGATAAAGTTGTTCGAACTGTTCATTGAAGTCTTGAACAATCTAGTCAGTTATCATGCCTCTCAAAATTATAAGAAAACTTAAGTACTACTTATGCAATCTTTTATAGGGCAGAGACACATTAAGAGCTGGTACCATCATCAAATTGGATCAACTTCTACTATTTCATTGAAAGTATTTATCTATCACAAGGTTGTTAAGCTGAAACAGAATAATTAATTAAATTAAAGATGTAGGACAAGAGGGGTTTCGTTCACAATGGCTAAATTAATATCATTCTATTGTCAAGACCTATAGCAAACAATAAAATTCAGTAGCCATTCTCTGCTTCAATGTCATCAATTGAGTAGAGGTTTATGAGTCTTAAATGCTTATCCAAAATGTGCACCACTACAGAGAGATCATTTCTGACTTGCTGTAATCTCTTCTTCCTCCTCCAAAAACTCGAGATTGCCATAGTACTTCAGGGCATCCTGCCTTATAATACCTAAAGAACCTGACTCTCCTATTACTTCTAAACCATTTATCAGTATTCTAAAAGATGACCTATCTGGTTCACAATCAATCGCTTTCATCAAGTTATAACAATCCATCACCAGCCCAATGAGCTTAAAACTTACTAAACTTTTCAACACAGCATTAAACCCCTCAATATCAGGCTCTAAATGATTTTCTCTTTTCAAGAACATGTAAATAATCTCAACTTGTTCAAACAATCCATTCTCACTCAATACCTGAATCATTTCTGCATACAACAAAACCTGCGGTTTGTACCAGTACTCCCTCCTCCTATCTTCAAAAACCTAGAGAAAAAAAGAAACCAAATTTAGTTGAAAAGTATCAACTTCTGATGATTATAATTATTTTTAACAAGAAATTAATAAAGGTTCTTTAATTTACCTTAAGAGCGACGAGACACTGGTTCTGCCTGAGGAGTTCACGTAGCACAGCAATCATATCGAACTTCAACAAACGTCTGAACTTAGAATAAAAAACTTGGTCTAAATCCGAGGAATTATGGTGTTGGTGGGCTCGCTTCAAGGCTTGCACGGCCTGAATTGCTTCGATGCTGAGATTTCTCCCTCTCTGCAACGGCTTCCTGTTCTTGCCTCTATCCCTCATTTTTATCACTACCATTCTCGTCCCTCTCTGTTCCCTCCGAGTCTGCGTTGGGCATGATGCTCTCAGTTCTAGTTTTACGTCCACCCAAGACGACGACAACTGAGCGACATTCATTCTTTCCTAACTAGTCGTTATGGTGATACCTCAGTTGTTGCCACAAGATCATGAGTACTCCATGGAATAATTAAATTTCTTTTATTTTAATATTTTTCGTCATCTATCAGAATTGCAGACGACGTCGTATTAACTAGCATTCAATCTAAGGGCACAAAAACATCACAATATGAACTCAGCAACCATGGATTCAAAATATTATTATTAAAAAACACACAATCAAACAAGGGCCGGCGCCCCCAGCTGCCACTCCGTGAGCTTTCTGCGAATCTCTATAGATTGTCCAATGGGATCTCATTGCCTTTGTTTGTTATCGCTTAGCATATCTCCTAAACAAATCCAGGCGTCTGAATCCCACATTTCACTCCGGCACACTCAGATTTTCCTCCTATATGGGCGTTTGCTGGAACTAGGGTATACATAAGAAAATCAATCAAAAAACAAGAAAGCCTACCTAATCAGGACACCACAATTTTACAATATATATAACTTTTTGTTAAAATATATATAGTATTCTATTATGCATATAATACCTTATATTATATTTGTTAGTACTCGTAGTTAAATCTGTTAATACCCAAAGTAATAAAATTTTGGAGTGAAAAAATGTTATGCTTATATTGGTTTTTACTAATCAGTATACAACTTACATGCATCTAACGTGGCATCCACCTCATCTCCCACGTAGGTAGTTCCAAAAAAAAAAAAAAAAAAATGCAGCAAACGAAACTTTGCCTCCCTAATCATCTTCTCAATAACCTAAATCTTCTCTCCCAAATTAAATCATGCCCAAATTACCCATCCTGAATTTGATAGTATGAATCACTCACTGCGACGTCCACCGTTGCCACCGCATTTGTCTCCGTCGCCGACCACTGAGAGTTCCTTTTGAGTGGTAAGAGCTTACTCACTCCATGGTCTCTCTTACTTGCTTGTTGCTATTGGGAGAAGTAGAACACAACACTTGGTTGGTGCTTTTGAGTTGAGAACCATGTATAAGTGCATATAAGTTTCGAATAATGCTACAGACACCGACGCTTTGCACCGAATTTTTACACTGAACGATATGTCAGTTGAATCAGACAAGTCACGTATCACGTTAACAAATATTCCACGAATGAACGGCTATCCATCAAATACGGATGGCCGTCCATTATTATTGGATGACCGTTCATTTGAAATGGACTCCCGTCTATGCGAAAATAATAATGGACTCCCATCCATGGTATATGGACGGGAGTCCATTTACCATGGACGGTCATCCACCTAGAATGTATGTCTGTTCATAGTTTAAATTAAAAAAAATTAGCCTAGATTGTTTATGGACGCCCGTCCATCTTATGAGGACGACCGTCTATAAGTGATTTATGAAGCATTTGTCCTCCTTTTCAGAATCTAGTAGAGGTCGCGGCTCAACAAGCCCGCCTTGGCGGGTGCCACTGTAGTAGTACTATTCACTTCCGTCTTATTCCAGTTTAAGGGTATCTCGGCTAAAAACCAGTAATCATCTTAAAAATTATCTGACAGTATTTGACAATCTCTAATATAACAATGCTACATACACCTTAAATAATGCCGCATAGGGTTTAGGGTTTAGGGACCGACGTCCATCTTTTAGTATTAACAATTTTAAACTTTAAATTTATTTAAAGCTCAAATAATCAGAGAAATAAAGGATATACCAGTATCATTGCGAATCCTATTAATTAGATATCACCATTCATTGAAACGGTAATAAAGTTTGACACCAACCAACAAACATTAATTGCACTAGTTTGACCTAACTGAGTTAGTATTGAATAAGAGCAGGCACAAGCAGGACTAGAGTTGAATGTTGTGGTAATAATGTAATATAAAAACAGAAATTTGCATTGAATTGAGCAAGAGGACAAATAAAAATGAAGCAGCCAATGTATATGGACGACCGTTGGGCGTCCATTATTTTGTTTTCAAAATTTTATGATTAGATGACCATAATAAATGGACACCCGCCTATATATAATATAGATGGGAGTCCGTTGATATTTTTGTAAATGTTTATCTATTTTTTATGAATAATCGTCCATTAAATATGGACGAGTCATTCACAGAAGACTCCAACGTGGTCGCGTCTGACTGGATGTCATGTCTTTTAAAAAATTCGATACAAAAATTCAGTGTCCATAACATTATTCATAAGTTTTATGATAAACAATATTATAGTGAAAAAAACTTTATAAATCCAATCAATAAAGGAAATTTTGTGCAAATGTAAAACAGTGAAAGGGAATTGCACAATTTGGGAAAGAAAACGTGAAAATCAAATGACTTAGTGACTGATTTTGGTAGTGCCCATAATCTTTTTCTTGAGGACTAATAATATAGTTTTTAATGAGACACTTAGAAACCTTTTATGTAAATTATCATAATTATATAATCATAATGGCTAAAGTAACCATCTGGACTGTCTTTCCCCAATTTTCAAGTGTGACCCAAATTTTTTAGGCCTAAAATTCTTTATGTTAGTTATTTTGTCAGTTTATTGTTATTACATGATAATATCTATTATTAGTTTATTATGTTGTTAAAAATTCATTAAACTTTTGTAGTGTGAGAAATGGGTAGTTTTTTGGGCTATTTGGGTTTCAGTTTTGTGGGTAAATTTGTGCATATATTCCTGGTTACCTAATGATATATATGCTAACATATATAAGACAATATTATATCGTAAAAACACAAAAATATGGGGTTGAAATTGAGTGCGAGGGCAAGCTTTAATTTAGAGAGAATACGAGTAACTCTAAAAGGCTTCCATTTTCATTTTTGGTTAGCAGGTTATGGGGTTTTATTTATCTATTGTTCTATTATTTTTTCTGTTTATAAATTTTTGCTCATATTGATAGTTTTTTATTTGAAAATGTTGTTGAGATGAAAGTGTTGTTTGTGTTGGTGATGGTATGTGTTGGTCTAAATAATAAATCTTTGTGTTTGTCAAAGCCTAGGTTTATGTATGTTTTCTTAAAATTCCTCATGGAAAATATATATTTGTGTGACCTTAATACTTGGCTTGGCAAAGTGTTACCCGTACCCGCAAATAAACGGGTGGGTACAGATAACACTATTAATTACCCGTTTAAAATTTACTAGTGTCCCACCCGTCCGTGGAAATTGCAGGCAGACTAGGTGGTGCCCGCATTTACTTTAAAAAAAAAGTCAAAACCGTAAAAGCATTTCTCTCTCACCCTACGCAACCATCAATCACTCATTAAACTCCACCACTCGTTGTCTCTCCCTTTCTTCATCAATGCTTCTGTCATCTTCCATTAAACTCCACCTCTTTTTTTTCTCTCTTTCTTTCATTAATTCTCCTACTTTCTTACACAACCCAACTCTCCGTAGAATCTTCCTTTAAACAATTCTCCTTTTCTCTTTCTCTCTGTTTGCAGACAAACTCCATTTCTGTCATCTTCCATTAAACTCCACCTCTATTTTTTCTCTCTCTTCCTTCATCAATCCCTCCTTCTGTTCACAAGGTCACAACCCAACTCTCCATACAATCCAACCAAACAACTCTACCTTTCTCTTTCTCTCTGTTAATAGCCAAAAACAAAAACTCAAAATATCCAAGAATGAGCTCACAACACCGCAACAACAATACTAGTACAACTACAAACAAGTGAGCTCTTCATTTGCTTTACTTCTCGCCTTTCGTCTTCTTCCTCCATTAAAATCACTTCTAAATCAATCTTTGAGTCCCGACGGTGCTAGAGATTCGTCCCAAATCTCCCTCTGTACTTCTCTCAGTCGGAGATTAAGAAACAGTGGTAGTATCAAAGGCGGCCAAACTTTACCCATGTTCCCGGCTCCCAATGGCAAGAAATGTGGCTATTTTTTTTTGAAAACCCTAACTTTCTTCTCCCAAGAAACAAAAAACTTTGGAAACAAGAAACAAGACAAGACAAATAAGGGCTAGATCCAAGAGTGGAGAAAATTTAGTTGACCGCCATCCCAAGTTTGGATTTAAAAAAATGGCCTCAAAATTGTTTACCATTTTTTTTTTTTTTTTATTTAGAGAAGCTAACAAGCATAGTTATGTCTATTAAACATGTAGAATGGGTTAAAATAAAAAAATTAAAACATATAAGGATAAAATCATAATTAATGAAAGTTTTTAAAATTTAAAATTTACAAAAGAGCCCTAAATATTCAAATCGCTTAATTGAAACTAATTAAGGTAAAAATCGATATCTTCAATCCCTAAATGCATCTGTGCAATTTTCGGCGATAACAGTTTATATTCCAGCGAATTTTTACACCCAAATTCAATCCTAAAGCTTCTTCCTTTCTTAAAACTATGGTTGACATTAACAATGAAGAGAAAAATCCAACGCCTTTTCGAATCGTAGAGTCCGGCCGCGCAAGCAGTTCAATGGCTGCTCCAGTGGATCCTTCGATCAGTGAAAGTGTTCCAGCAGCGGAGACGACGGTGGCACAACAAGAGAGAGAACATGAGCAAAACGGTTCTGAAGAGGAAGAGGAGGCCAGGCAGAATTCAGCCCAGGAAGAGGAGTCCGGCGAGAGTTCAGAGGAGGAGGAGGAGGCCGCCAAAGAAAAGGTATTTGTACTTGCCGAGACCTAAGATCGCTTAAGCGATCCTTTGTATCGCTTAAGCGATTGATGACTTTTACTCTTGGTCGCTTAGGCTACTTCGGATTGCTTAAGAGTAAAAGCGATGAATCGCTTAAGCAATATAAAAGATCGCTTAAGCGATCTTTTATCTGGCAGATGTTGATTCTGCCTCGTACAAGATCTCTTAAGCGATCTGTAATCGCTTAAGCGATCTATTCCGAGGCAGAACCAAATCTGCCCAGATCTATAATCTTTTAAGCGATCCTTTGTATCGCTTAAGCGATCATAAGAGATCTTGTATGAGGCAGAATCATCTGCCCATCGATTAAGCGATTCTTCTGGAGCGTATTTTGTTTATATTTGATTTGGTTTAATTTTTTTGCTGATATTTTGTTTATATTGATTGTGCAGATTTTTCAGAGCGTAAACTATA